GAGCACAGAGCCATTGAAGTGCTCCCACAAGCCATATAAACCCCTGAAGTTCCTCTGTTTTCCCCCATGAGTTTTGTATTGCTGGAGGAGGAAACCCTGAAAGTCAAGAGCTTGGTGAAAGAGGGGCTCAGCCTTTGGGTGTCCTGACCTACTGCTAGGCTTCTCTGTGCCTCATTTATTTAAAAGGCTTTTAAGAGCTTCCAGCTATTTTCCATGTACTCCAGCAGAAAGAACTGGGCTCCCACTTTCTTTTCTTTGAGCAGCAGCTGAGAGGAAAATGTGCATTCCCCTCAAATATGTCCTCACGTGTCACCTCAAATACAGAGAATAAAGATGGGTGATTAGAAGAAGCAGCTAAATAATTCCTCCAGGTAGGCTTTTCTGAGGATCTGAGTAGTGGTGAACTGCAATGTGAAAGAAATAATTTACTGCTGTTTGTTTCACCTAAAGCAGAGGCTGGTCAGGCCTTTTGGAGCCATCACTGCTGGTCAGGCACAGGACCCAGTGTGGGAAGTGTGCAATGCTTGTGTGGGGTGCTGGGTGTGCTGGCTCCTGGGACAGAGGTGTTCAAATCTGGGGACATGGCCCTGGTGGGTCACAAAGTCCTCTAGAGCTGCCTCTGAGAGAGTCTGGCTGCTGCATGTGGGAAAGGATATTTGGAGCCTGTGGCTACTCCAGAACTCTGGGGAAAGTTCCAAGCTTCTGGGGCTGAGCTCTCCTGCTTTGGTGCCTTTCTGGGTTTGAACTCAAACTGGGAGCAGCTCCTGAGGTGTAGAGTGAGAAATGAAATTTTGTGCCATTTTGTCCAGAAGACTCATTGCCTCTACTGCAAGTCTAAATCTTGACCTATGAAGCTGAGCACGAGAGTATCTCAGAGAAATAACCTCACAATACAGAATTACACGGTCAGGAATATTTTCCAGCTGAGCACTGTGGTCAATGCTGTAGCTACAGATGCTGCAATTCCCCACCTGGAACCGCTGACTATTCATTGAATAGGGACTTTATTGAGGAGTAATAGGGATTCAGGGGCAAGTTTTATTAACTAGCAACAAATTCGTTCTCCTCTGCCTTCACAAAGAGCTGCTAAAATCTGCTGAGAGTGTAGAGAGGCTGTGGAGAGGAGAGAACACGGATATAGTCTTTTTACACATAAAACCCCTCTAAGGGTGGTTTGTGTCGGGGGGCTGACCTACCCCACCCCAAAGCTCCCCCTTGCTCTTGGGGCAGCGTCCCCCGCGGACCCGCCCGCTGCCTGCCGAGCGGCTGTGGGAGGAGGAGGAGGAGGAGGAGGAGGAGGAGGAGAAGGAGGGGGAGTCCCGGCGGCGGGATGAGGCCGGGCTGAGCGATGTGCGAGCAGGCAGCGCGGTACTGCCGGGCCGGGGTGCAGAAGCTGCTGCGGAAGCCGGCGCCGGCGCTGCGCGGGCTGGACGGGCTGCTGCGCTGGGCGGCGGGCAGGATGGGCGACAAGGGCCTCGCCGACAGGGAGCTGCTGGCCCCGGGAGCCGCCGCTGCCCAGAGGAAGGGCACCTCCGTCATCCTCGATGTGAGTGCTCCCTGCATCCCGCACCCCGCTCCTGCCTCTCCTCTCGTCCTGCGCTCCCCGCACCGGCCGGGCACGGGCTGGAGCCGGGTCTGCAATCCCCAGCTGGGTGGGAATGGGTGTCCCGCATCCTCTTGCTCGTGTCTCGCACCCACTCCAGCCCCTCGGGATCTCCGTTATCTCCCGGGTCCAGCATCTGCTGGACCAGCTGGGCAAGAGGCTGCAGCCCGGCTCCTCAGCTCGCCTGGATCCTGCACGCACAGCCTGCACGGGGAGCACCCCGGACCCTGAGCCCGGGCATCAGGGATATTCCTCGGGTTCTGCATCCCCGGGCTGATGGGTGTAAGGGTGCCCAGATTTAACATCCCCTGTCCAGACCCTGTGCCCCTGGGCTGCTGGGGAATGGAGTTGCAGCCCGGGTCTTGCCCCCACTCGTCCCCTGTCCCCTTGCCCTGCACTCTTTGGAACAGCTGGGAAAAGATTCACTTGGTCCTGCATCTTCTGGACTGGGCTGGGCATAGGGCGCTCTCCGGGTACCGCACCTCCTCTCCAGAGCCCTGCACCTTTTTGTTACGGGATGGGCAGGAGATGTAGCTTGTATCCTTCTCCTGGCCAGGATTCTGAACTCTCTGGGCTGGCTGGGCATTGGGGTGCCCTGGTTCCTGCACCCTCTGGGAGGGCTGAGTATGGGTGTGCACCCCAGGTTCTGCAGCCTGCTTCCCAGGTCCTGCATCCTCTCGATCTGTCGGGATGAGGATGCACTGTAGGTCCTTAATCCTGGTTTGGGGTGGCTGGTAGGGATGTGCTCAGTGTGCCTCGATTGCTGTATTTATAGACTTTCTGATTAGGGAGATAACGAGGCTGTTTGCACTTAAATGAATTGGGAGAATGGGGCGGAATCAGCCCGAGTGCAAATGGTGTAATTACAGTCTTTCTGCAGCATCCAGTAATTAAACACATAGATCCTCTGTTTTGCTATCTCTTAGCTTAAAAAAAAAAAAAAAAAAAAAAGCAGTGAATTCAAAAATAAACTACTGAGGCATTGGCTGTAGTAAAGGATAACTCATGCTCTCCTTGGAGATAGGATAGGCAGTAGTAGCTCTTCAAGGCAAGCCCTTACATTTTGTAAATAATTTGCTGAACCCGTGGGCTTTGGCGTGGGCTGGAGAGTTCAAAACTCATTCCACTCTGAGCACCCTGAGCTGAAAGGTGTTTTGGTTCTCTGAGGAACTGCTGTCTCTAGTGGGTTGCCAAAAGCAGCTCAGAGAGCAGAGCTGATGGATGATGCTGCCCGGTGGAAGGGGACGGGTGGGCACCTGCAGGCTGGGGGGAACAGAAAGGACAAGTGCCACTCATCTTATGTCTCTAAAGTTAGTTTGTTTAGGGAGAGAATTCCTGGGTTGTTGTGGGGTTTTTTTCCTATTTTTCCTTGATTGTTTTGGGTTTGACTTTTTTTGTTTTTTAATCTGTCCTGAAATTACGAAAATTGTACAATAATTTGGGATCTGAGTTTCAGAGCACAAATGCAATTAGGAAGCAACATTAAATTTATGTAAGAAGTTTCTCGATTTAGGAGTGTTTTGCCACCAAAATAGTATCTTATGCATTCAATTTTACTATCTTTAAGTAATTTTTTTTCCCCACTTTGAGGTTTGAGCTTAGGAAAAGAGCCGTGAACTTTCAGAATCGGTAGCACAGTAGAGCATTGTATTATTTCAGTGGGAAGTACAATAGACCTGGGTGTGCAGCTCCTGATCATTTTTTCTTTTCACAATGGTACTGGGAGCCCTTTCTCACCTGCTGAAAGTAGAAATGGATTCTGGAAATGTAAGATTGGAGCGCTTAGGGTTTTTTTTCCCTCCTTCCTTAGAACTTGATTTTCTCCTTTTTCTCCAGGCACAATAGCAAAGCCAATTGAAGCTGTGGCTTCACTGTAATGGGCTCTTCAAGTGCACTGCGAGACCCCCCTTTCATACAAAGGGTTTAAACAGGGAACACGTATTTAGCTTAATTTTCACACATTAGCATGAAAGTAACAAGCATCCCACTGAATGCTGAGGGATGATAACCTGTTTTCCATTTAACTCCTTCACATTTTTGCTGATGGATGTGCTGGGGAAGCAGTGAGTCCCAGCCATGCAGCACGGCTTCTCCATGGGGGAGGATGAAGTAAAAGACCTGTAAGATTTTATGTTTAGCTAACACGTTTTCAGGAGCTGGTGTGCTATGTAGGCAGTTTCTTGGGGTTTGGGGGAGGAAGGGAAAGCTTGGGCTTGGTTATGAATTAGATAAAATGGCTCTGACACTAATAGTACCTTAGTCACTTCTTCCTCTTCTGGCTTTCTTTTAATTCATCCATCCCCAGTGTTCCTGTTCTGACTCCTCCATGAGGGTGGCTGGTGTGTCAGAACAAACTTCCCTGTGCTCTTTCCACCAGAGGAACACAACTGTGCTTTGTGGGACAAAGGTGAGGGCTGAAGGGGAACAAAACACAACAAGGGAGTAAGATGTCTTCTGCCATCAACCTGGCTACTTGGAGAATGAATCTTAACTTTGGGCTGGCTTCAGTGTTTTTCTTTTATTTTTCCTCCTTTTTAATCCTTTACCTTTTAGGTAAAGGATTAAAAAAGGTTGAATAATGTTTACTAATTCAGCTCGAATGAAAGAATGGTCGGCTCTTACAACATTGGTCAAATCATCACAAGGGGTTGAGGCTGAGCAAGGGGTCTGTGCCCACCCTGTGCCTGCCCTCAGGTGCCATCCCTGGGTCTGCTCCAGCTGCAAGAGCCCAAGGCTCAGGGCTGGCAGAGTGTGCAATCTGCAGCAGCTATTCCCACTCACACCACAAGCTGTGGATGGACACAGGATGTCTAATTCTTTCTGCACCCACAAGGACAAACCCCCTTTATTAAAAACTGCCACAGTGCTGCTCCAATCCACAAGAGGACATGGTGGCATTTCCAGTCAGGAGCAAATCCTCAATGCCACAATGCTTATGGAAAGGAGGATATATTACGTGGGTGTCTATTCTCTGTGGGTGAGCCAATGTGAGATTGTGTTTGGCTCTCGAGGTTAGGGAATGTCTAGGCAGGTGTTGTTCTGTCTGGGAGTACTTCAGAGCTGGCTGATGTCCTGTCCTTGCTCATCTCTTCCTGCCTTGCTGTCACTGCCAGGAGCCTGTGTTGGCAGCAGAGGTGTGAACTCCAGAGCACATGAGACCTGGTCAGTCACAGCAGCTGCAGCAGAAAATCCATCTGGCTCATGGCTCACCTGCTGCTTGGCATCTAAAATAAGGATCAGCCTTGGTTAGGAATGAGCATCCCCATGGCAGGACTGTGAGCCTCAAGCAGCACTGGCCTCTCCTCCTCTTTTCTTGCTAATGGGGACTAAATGCATTGATTTGGGCTTTATTTTAAACACTCCTGAAGAACACAGTTCCGTTCATTTCAGGTTAGATGAAGCTTTCTCTTTTATCTGCCCTGTCTTTTGCTGAAAACTAATTTTGATAACCCTTATCTGACTTTTTTATTCTTTGACAGGAAGATAATTTCAAATCCATCTCTCATTCTTATGGCTCCTCTTGCAACTTCACTTACATTGCCCAGTCTGGTCTTCACTTCTTCAGCCCCATGGGACTGAGTGAGGTGTCTGGATAGAAGATACAGAGAATTCGGTTTGTGACCATGGTGCATTTCCAAATGCAGATCCAGAACTGCCAGTTTTCCAACCATTCTGTCAGTGACATGATTTCCAGTACAGCCCCTAATTGCAAGGCTCTTGCAGCCACAAGAATCCCAGGAATCCCTTCTCACTCCTCTTCTGTTTTGACCTTTTTCTTTGTTTTCATTTCCCAAGGTTGGTTCATTCCCCTTCCTTTGTCCTTGTTTACCTTCTCACTGCGAGTGAACTTCGAGGGCTATTTTCCTCCTCCTCAACCCTCCCTTTGTGAAATCCATGGTTTGATATCATTCCCTTGAGCTGTACCTGCAGGCACAGCTGGAGAGGAGGGCCAGGACAGGCCAGGCTCTCTTCCTTCAGGAGCTGCTCACTGCAAGGTGCAGTCACACAGGAGAGGCCATCCAGTCTCCTCTGATCTTCAGGGCTTTGGAAGTGGGTGCTTGAAATGAAGCTGAACAGAAAAGTAACTTCTAGTGCTGAACGTCAGCAGGTCAGAACATCAGATGCAACTCTTACCTTTCTCATGCAACTTTAATTTAGGACAGCTAGGTAAAGTCCAAAGAGAAGGTAAGAGTGAAAGCAGAGGTTGGAACATGGTGTCAGCTGCTCTTCTCTTGGGGAGGAAGGGAAAAAGAAAAAGGATCTGCTTTGAAGTGGGATCTGGATCAGAGATCTGGAGCTCTGCAGCAGCCTTGTTTTGTGGGGAACCACTGCAGATGGGACAGCATTTCTACACCAATGGCATATTCCTTACTGAAGCACCAAAATAAACCCTCTTTCCTTGCATGGGGAATGCTCATTAGCCTGAGGATGTCTAAAGACATAGTCCAAAGTGACAAAGCTTCAGGTCATTATTTTCTCACATTTTCACCAGGAAGAGCAACAGAGAGAGGCTGTAGGAGAGGAGATTCCTACTGGTGCCTCAGGTTTGAGGACTAAGGGCCATACCTGATACAAAACCTTGTCTCGACTCCGAAGGAAGGGTCAAGACTTGTAGGGAGAGGAACAGAAAGGCAGAACAGGAATGCAGAAACATGCTATGAGGATTAATAATTTTTTTACGTCTATGTGGGTCTCTGGATGCCTTCTCAACCATGGGCTTTCCTCATGCATGAGACATGATTATATTTTGTCCTCAATTCTGCACCCAGATTGTGATGGAAAACAAAATTTCAGCTCAGCTGCATTCTGTTTTAAATCAACATCATATTAACCTGGTGAAGGGATTATAAACTCCACAAACCTGTAATAATTCTTAGGCTTCTTAGGGGAGTAGTATTGTGAATTTAATAAAATTCGTGAGAAAACCTTCATTAAGCAGCCTCCAGTGTGGCATGTTCTCATCCAGGAGCTTTGAGAAGGCAGAACTAAATGTTTAAATTTGAAGCCATCATTTTTTTTCAAGTTTGTTATTACCACCAGGGTTTTGAATTGCTTACTTCTGGCAGTCAAATATCTGTAGTAGCCATTTGAGAGTATAGCAAAAACATATATTTAGAGAAAACCTATTGGAAATCTTGACAAAAGTTCTTTGCTCTAGAGAAAATATTGTTTATATTCATCTAAACTGCTGGTAAATGGGTTCAGTATGCCACAGACAGCAAACTGCATGCATTGCCTGTATAAATCCTATAAAATGGGTTAATGCCCATATTGTGAGCACCCTGTGGGCTCACGGTGTGACTTAGCCTGTGCTTCAGGAATTTTGCTTAATGGCTCCAAAGCCCAGCTGATGGGGGAGATGGCTGCTGTGGCACTTGAAGTGGATAATTTCTCATTTACCATCTGAGATTCGTGCATTGCCCTGATGCTGGAGAACAGGGGGTGATGGAGTGGAAAGAGCATCCCTGGTCAGGCTGAGCTGGGCTGCAGCTCCTGGAGCCCATGGGATGGTGCTTGGCTGGGAGCAGGCACAGGAAGCCAATTGCTGCTGAGGGCCTGGCAGGACAGCACACTTCTCCATCCATATTTCATTGCCTCCTCTCTTGCTGACCTCCAGGGCTGCTGCCTTGACTGAGTGCCTTTGCTGCTGAGTGAGGATGGAGCACTGGGAGCCTCAGAGCAGCTGAGGGTGGATGGGCTTTGCAGCCTCTGCCTTGGAGATGACACAGCATCCCCACTTCTGTTCCCTCCTTCTGGAGCAGGTGGGAGCTGCCATTGCCCCCAGCTCCCTGGGAGCCTGCTTCCATTATGGCTTTGCTCCCTGGTCCATAGGGAAGCTGTGAGGGGCTGTGGTTTCCCTTCCATCCCCAGACCTTGCACCTTTCCCTTATGGAAAGCCCACCAGCTCCTTCCCACAGTGGAACAACTAATCCAAATCTTTGGGCTGTGTGGGGGAGGGCACTGCTGAGCTGGGACATAAATTCTGGGTCTTCACAGCAGCAGCATTTTTGGCAGCACTGCCAAGCTATCACAGAATGTATTACATCTTTATCAACCTCCCAATGTTCATTCCAATGTTCATACCTTGATGCAGTGCCTGCCTGTGCTGACAGATTACTTTGTCTTAAATTGTTTTTTCCCTTCAGGTGTCCCAGTTTAATTTTTTTTTTTATGTGTGCAAATTTTAGGTGGTTCAATTAAGTTGAAAGAATAAATCCTGCTCATTAGCAATAAAAAAGCCAAGCAGCTTGGTCCTGTAGAATAAACTTTGATAAGTAACACAGCTGATGTGATCTTTCATCAACACGTTCGTTTACAAATAGCCATACTTTAGGGAGTATCTGACAGTCTTAAAGCCCTAAAATATTCACTTACTAAAGCTGGATATAAATACCTCAATTTCTAAACATTTCTTCTATTTCTTAATTTTTTTTCCTGTTGATCCTTGCAAGGTAAACATCTCCATGGAGCAGAGCACTGCAGGTTGAGCCTTTCTCCCGTTTTAATCTACATTTTACCTATTGGTTTTGTCTTCCCATTCTCCCTCTGCCAGCTGTGCTTAGTGGGATGGTGATCTCCCATGGGACCTTAAGACAGGCATTGCTCCTTCTGTGTTAGACTGGCTGTAATACCTTGGTTTCAAAGCAGTAGGAAGAGCAGCAGAAGGATGTACTGATGAAAAAAAAAAAGCCCAGGAATAATCAGCATCCAGGAAGAGAAGTACCTCATGGGGAGTGAGGATTTGGGGTGTCCAAGCCATGAGAAGAGGAATATTTCATACAGTGGGCAGGGCACACAGAGCACGGGTGAGGGATGTGAGCTGAAGCCATGCAGCTTGCTGGGGTCCTGCTGGGATTTATTCCTTCTTCCCATAGACAAGCCATGACTGGCTGGCTTTCAAAACCCATCTTTAACTTCAATGAAATCTGCGAGCGTGGAGAGTGGTAGGATTTTCCTTCCCAAAGCTTCTAATTGCTCTAAAAAATGGAGGTCAGCACAAGAGGAGTTCTGATGTTGTCATGAGCCATAATCCTTGTAGGCAGATGCTGTGACTCCCAACACTTTGGTTTGGCTCAGGATTTTGCCTTTGCTAAACTACACCAGAAAGTCCTGCTTGGACTCTGCCCCAGGCTGCAGAGCCTCACAAGGACTTTGGACAAAAGAATGATTAATGTTCCTTAATTAAGCCATATTCTGTGAAATAGCATATTCTGCAATTCAATTTTTCTCTTGGGGTTCTTGTTTTGTACAGCAGTTTCTCTTCTGATATTTTATTTTTTTTATGGTTTTGTGACCCAGAAAATATGAGATTCTATTTTACAGCTGACTCTGATCTGTCTTGCTGCTGCTTTTATTCCCTCCTCAGGGAAATTTCTTTGTACAACTAAAATCTCTGCTTTTGCTCAAATTAATAGGGTCAGGCCTGAAGAATGAAGATGAGAATATTTTACCTTTTCTGCCTATGTTAAGTTTTTGGTAGTTTATGGCCAACCTGGGCTAGTGGCCATTTTCAGCAGGAACCTGTAAGTTTCCAGCCTTTGCACGAACCTTTTGCTATTAATTGCATTTTCTTGGCAAGGACAATAGAGCAGAACAGCACTGCTGGAGAAGCAGATGAAGGATGGAACTTAGGGATGCAGAAGTCATGCAAAACACAAGCAGGATGCCAGCTCAGCTGTGCAGGGGTGACAAAGTAGAAGTTATGGAAAATAAAGATATTGGAGCTAGTCAAAAGTGGGGGTCGAGGAACAGCCCCCTAAAAAGGACACCTGATGTTGAAGATGGACCCCAAAGATCCATAAGAAGATTTCAGATAAGGGGAGTGACTATGTAAAATAAAGTAATACATATGCATCAAGTAAGTGGGGATAGCTAATGAATGTGTAATCAGAGTGTGTGGTTAAAAACTCAATTAGAGCAAGGGCTCTCCAAGTGACCAGCTGATTTTGGTATCAGTATTAGGGGACTATTCCTTAAATGAAACTGGTGAGAAAAACATCAGTTGTTTCTGCTCTCGTTCTCCCTGGCAAATTCTATAGTACTACACATTATTGCAAGTTTTTTCTTCTGAAATGGCTATTTGATTCCTCTCTGTGGGCTGTTCCTCCACACTGTAGTTTTAAGTCTAAATATAATCTCCTTCCCACGCAGGAGACTTGATTAAAAAAAAAAAAAAGTTGTAAATAATTTTTTTTCAGAAGTGCAGAGCTGTGAAACTTGGTTTAAGAGATTTTATTGACTCCAGAAAAATTGTCTGGACTGGCTGCACGGCTGTTGTAATTTTTTTTAGTGTGGATTTTTCTGGTGTTGGATTCATGATTTCAGCTTTCTTAAGTGAGGGAGGTCCTGGAAGTGCTGAAAGCATTTCCACCAGTTTTTCCAGTTATGTTTCTCTGGGGGAGATGAGCTGAGTCTGGGGGTGGGTGGGCTCAGTAAAGTTCCTGAATTGGGTCTTGAGGGGCTGGAGCACTCGAACCTGCCCTGTGTGTGTGCCCTGAACGTGGTCCTGGTGCAAAGGGCTTCACCCCCCCATGCTGGACAACATAGTAAACACATTTCTTTCTCTCTCTTTCAATTCTAGATTTTCAGAAGAGCCGACAAAAATGGTAAGTCTGTGCATTCATACTTCACATTTCTTGATTGGACTATTGTCAGTATTACCATTTTTCCTGATAGTAACATGCAAGTGTTTAAATGTCATTCAGTTTGCTGGGTCTGACACTGATACACTCAAAACATCAGAAAAGGTTTTGGTTTTTTTTTTAAGAGATATTCTTAGAGCAGAAGTGATACTGGTATGCAAGCTGGCATAGCAGAATCCACCAGATTAAGAACAATTTCACAAAAAGAATATAAAAATCACAGGTAAGTGATAAAGGAGGATCCATCCTTGGTAATCTTGAAGTATCTTTAGAAAACAGACATAATTTGTGACTATTAGTAGTTTGGCTCCTGAGGGACTGGACCCACATGTCAAAGAGCAACACACGTTGATGTGTGTTGTTAATCTGTGCCTGTGGAAAGCTGAACACCTGCACTGAGCCCAGCCAAGTCCTTTCATTTGGAATAACATGGATGAGTCTTCATTAAATGACTTGGAAAGAGAGAACAGGTAAGATAACAAGCTTAAGGAAAGAAGAGTCAGTGGGCCCAACCCCAGGATCTTTCCACACCCTGAAAAACAGTTTTATTTTAGCTCCTAGATAAAATCCCAAGAATTAGTATCTGTTCTCTCCCTGTCGTACAAGAAGAAAATTAAAAGTGCATCAAAACCCTGTGTGTTTGCAGAGGGACATGTGGGAGGGCTGTGCAGGAGCACAGGGGAGAGTTTGGTTGTTCTCTTCCAACTTTAAAAGGGAGATACCTGATTTCTGCTGGTGCTCATAGATGTGTATCCTCACTGTCCCTGGGTAAGGAGGGTGCTGTCAGCTGGCTCACAAATAAGCAGTAAATGCCATGTAACTGTGGGCACTTGGTAATGGCAACTGATAGAATAATGAGATATTGAAGTTTGCTGCTTAGAAAAGCTGAGCAGTTGTGTGATTGATGCTCTTGGCACCAGAGTGACTGCAGAGATGGTGCTGGAGCTGCCAAGGGTGAGAGCAGGGGCTGCTCTTGCAGGGGATGAGGAGCCCAGTGCCACTGAGCACAGAGAAGGGGATCTGTCCTGCCTCTCCTAAGCCTCAGTGGGCACTGCAGGGAGAACAGCTGGATCTCCTAAGGAAGGCCAGGTGCTCTTTGATGAAGGAGCAATCTCCATCTCTGCTTCCACTCTTGCTGCTTGCACTGCAAGGTTCCTACAGCTGCAGTGTTTGGGCAGCACAAAGGGTGCTGTCCATAGGACTAAAGCTGCCCTTCCCTTTTCGTGGAACCTGGACAGGCTGGCAAAGGCAGTCTGGAGTTCAGGGCCACCTCTCCCCCCAGGCTGGCTCCTGCAAGGTGACACACTGGGGCACGTGTCAGCCTGGGCATCCCTACTCTCCAGTCCCATGGAGCAGGGCTGTCTGTGATCCTGGGGCTGTCCTCTGAAGGATTTGTTCATCCTTGAAGGCTTGTTCATCCTCCAATGGTTGTCCTTACAGTTATTGAGATGCTGCTTTTTTATTGATGCAACACTTGCTAGCCACGGTGACCAGTGTCACCAGCCATTCATTTTTTATGAACTCTGGATAACAGATTTTGCCACTCATTATAATTATCTCAGTGTGTTCCTCTGCAGCCTTTTGGGATCACAGCTCCCCACAGCCCCTCTCCAGCCTCCTGCAGCTCACAGCAGCAGCTGCTGGAGATGTGCAAGAATATTTCCATTAGTACAGCCTCTCTGAAAACTAGGGCTCAGAGGTTTCCAGAGCCAGAGGTAATATCTTTGTATTTCATATCCCTGGGGATCTCTTTTTCACAATTTTCTCTTTGACTTTCTGGACTTTATTTATTGATTTGTTGAAATTCAGCCTATTCATGGCTTTACCTGTTACAGCACCAAGGAACAGTGGAAGTGTCAGCCTGCTGCTTTTATGCCTCACAGCAGGTGCTGTGCACAGCCTTCTGAGGAAAAATGAAAATCTTACACTTTTCATTTTTGTCAGAATCCCAGGATGGGGCCCTGAGCCACGGACAGACTGCTAAAAACACACATCCACAGATTCCCAAAATATTTTACTCTGTTAACATGCTTCTATGGTCTCCACACCTGCAGAGGTTCCTGTCTGGCAGGGACTTTGCTCTTCTAATTAACCAGCTGAGACGGATCATTATCCAGTGCTGTGTGATGGTGGCATACTGGGAGAGAGCTCCCAGGGCAGGGAGTGCTGGCAGCTGTACCCAGAACTGGCAATCTTTGCTTTCCTCAGCTGTGCTAAAGCCACTCTTACAGACCTGTGCAGGAACCTACGGAAATAGGGCAGAGAAAATCTGAACAAAACTTCAGCGTTTGGCATCTGCTTCAACTACAACATCTCATGTAACTTTTTCCATGCAGAGATCAGATGGGTAGAGGGTTACCTAAAAGGCAAAGGAAGGGATTGTAAGATTAAGGAGTAGTCTCATTTGATGGGCAGTCAAGGGGTCATAAATTTGGAAATCTTTGCAGCATCTTGATTTTTTCCCCCCTTAGCCTGGTAAAAATGGCACATACTGTGTTAAAGCAGAGTGGCTGTTTCTGACATGGTAACTATGGAGCCTGATAGTTTCAATTTAAGAGCATCTCCCTCCTACCCCTTTCTTCCAAACCTTCTCACATAAATTGTTAATTCATGTAAAATTGGGTGTTCTTGCTGCAAGATGCTAAACCACGTTATTGTTGCTGCCATGTTCAGGTACTTGTATTGAGGTGATTTTATTCAGTGCCTACATGTACTAAAATGCTGCTAATGAAGTAGCTCCTGCTTGTTAAAATACATCTTTTAACAGAGAAATGGGATTCTGTCTATAATGTGAACTAAGCTCCCAACATTTTCCTCAGTGATAATATCAAGTAGTTTTATAACTATCTACATGATAAACTCAGAAAATGGTCTGCATAAGACATCTGGAAATGATGAGCACATTGGAGATAACTGGATAAACTGACAAATGGTCTGAAAAAGGGAGCAGGGCTGGAGTGTAACCTGAGAGTGAATAACTCAGCTCTAGTCATGCTTTGCAGGGGCATGGCTGTTAGTCATTCAAAATAATCTTTTTCTTTTGTGTAGGAGTGTTTTTCCTTTCTCTGCTAATAAATCCACCTACTGTCTTGTAATCCTCCCAGATCCAGTAAACAATACTTAATCATTTAATTGGCATGTGCTGGGAAAACGGAGGCATCTTGCTTTAGGCTGGTGCAGTAGAGCTATCAATCTTCTGAGATATCTACTGTGTACTTAATCCTCTCATTAGAAAGCTGCTAATCAATTAAATAGCCCAGGATTCTCTTTGAAAGATTAAAAGAGTTTTATTTTGACAGAACAGCCTAACTGCTAACAATTCATTTTAGATATGCATCTTCCCACAAACTGATGTTTTATCTGGAAATCTCCAACTCACTGCAACTACCCAACCCCCATGGCTCGAGTGTAACTAAATGCAAAGTGCAGCTTCCATCCATGGTTTAGTTTGGTGGGTTTTGCTGTGATTATTAGATCCTGCTCATGGAAAAGGCCATCAGTCTGCACCATCCCAGCAATGGGCTTTAGGTGACCTCTGCCCTGGAAGAGGAGAGGTGCAAAAGGAAATATGCCAAGAACTTGGCATTTGGTTATAAAACACCTACAGAAGATGGCAAGGGGAGCTGGCAGTGGTGCAGTATCTCACCTGCTAGTGACCTGTGATGAGTTAGTGTTGTGGTTTAGTCAACCTGGCATCTTCCTATTGCTGCTGCCCTTGTGATTTCTGTACCAAGAATGAGCCCAAACTGCTCTGGTTCTCCCTTCAAATTATATCTAGAGAAGGTGTGGATGGGAACAAAGCCATTCAGAGCATGCTGTCCTGAATAACTTCTGTTATCAAAAATGAAATGCTATGAAGTGTGGAGAAATCCAGAGTACAAATGCTGAGAGGAGGTTTCAGTTTTCAGTTGCTCTGAATGATCAGCTGAAGGCCTGTAGAGGACGTAGCAGAGCTAATAAAGGAAAAAAAGGAAGCATGAATGAAGCAGGAATTGGTGTTTGGAAAGGGCTTTTTGGTTAAGAGCCATGAGGGCAATGGCATTGTGCCCATTCCTATCCCAGTAGGGCTCGTCCTTTAAATAGCTGCTCACAAATATCTGTTAGTCACTTAAGAGCTCATTAAATGAGATTTATGCTGCTATTCTGTGTAAGGAAAGGTCTACACACCCCAGCGTTACAAGTCTTACAGCAAATTACACTACAAACCATGGAGGCACACACAGAGCTCCTGACAAGCAGGGAACATAAATAGCTTTGCACATCAGCATCACAACAAAGTGGCCAAGAAGCCAGTGGGTGGGGTTGTGCCCTTGTCTGCTGCTTGCCCATAAATTGGCTGCTCTGCCTGGTGGCTTTGTGGCTGTGATTCCACGGGGACCTCACAGGCTCCAAAAGCTGGGAAAGGGCAGAAAAACAAAACCAAGCAAATGAAAAGCTTCAGGCACGTCTCTCAGCCCCAGTTTGAGATGTTCAAAACTCAAGTCCTTCATAATGTTCAAGAAGGCATGTGCTAAGTGTCAGCTGAGCAGAAATCTGTCCTGTTAAACACCAGCACACAAAGGAAGAGAGTGAGATTTCTCCCAAGGATCGTGTTTCTTGCTGAAGGAATGGTGGTGGGAGAGCAGGGACAGTCCTGGGCCTGCAGCAAAGGGAGAAGGCTGAAGTGTAGTGGGTCTCCAAAGGAACACATGGGTGAAGCTAACAGCAATTTCCAGCCATTCAGAAATGCTGTGTGCCTGTCCTCATGTCGTGTTTGTAGGCAGAGACAGTTCCTCTGAGGACTTTATGGACCTGGGGAATTTGCAGGATGTTTAGTGGTAATAACTCTCAAAGTCTCACCCACCTTTCCCAGACCCCGCTTGGAGAAATTATTTTGATCCCCTTTAGTGAGCCTAAAGTAGGAAGAAATGTGTGTTTGTCTGTGGACGTGCTTAGAGCTCGAATTCACAAATGCAACCAGACAC